GGAAATGGGATATCACTTATGAGTTTTATCTTTCTTTTGTGGTGAAAATACATGACATATTGTTTCATTCACTTTGAAGAATACAATCTCGGGCCATTTTGCGAAATTGTGTCGTCTACCCATCACCAAAATGTCTTTGTTGTCCTAAATGAAACAGTACATGTGTGAGTCCCAGGAGCTCTTCATTTCCTCTCTGCCAGCCCTGGTAACCACTCTTCTGTTTTCTGTGTGTATGAATTTGGCTCCTTGTTGAAGAGGAGTCATACAGATTTGTCCTTTTGTGTCTGGCTTATTTCACTTAGCGTATGCCTTTAATGTTATCCATGTTGTCCATCCTGTTTAGGCTGAGAACTATTTCACGGGATGTATTTATCACATTTATCCATTCATCCATTCTTGGACATCCATAACTTCCCCTTTTCTCCTATCCCTTCCCCATCAATGGGTCTTGTATGTTTTTCACATGTTTGTGCTAGCCTCGCCTCTCCTCTTGAAAGTCCTGTCCCCTCCTTTTTGGATAGCTAGTACACCCTGTACGTGTCTGCTTACACGTCACCATCAGAAAGCTGTCTAGTCACAGGAGGAATCCTTTGGCTCTGCCGCCTCTCCTCCCTGGAGGTTGCATCATCCTCACAAAGTGTTGGGAGTTATCCATGACTGGTGTTGCAAGCTCTAATCCTAGCACTCTGGGAGGCTGAGGAGGGCTGATCTCAAGTTCAAATCCAGCTTGGACAGTTTAGCCAGTTAGTGAGACCTTGTCTCCAAATTTAAAAAAATATAACATAGTAAAAGGGCTTGGAATATAGCTTAGTGTGAAGGCCTTGATTTCATTACCCAGTATTGTTTAAAAAAAAAAAAAGTATTGGGAGTGTCTACTTGGCTGATCTGTCTGCCTCTGCCCATTACTGCTGAAGCCCATGGAGCAAGTCTGACTGTTATTCTTGCCGTAATATCCACTCACTGGTCTGAAAATGGCGGAAGATAAGCACTTAGGAAACATTTGTTAGCACAAGATCCTGAGCTTGGTTACTGGTACCAAAAAAAAAAAAAAAAAAAAAAAAAAAAAAGCGAACATTTGTTGAACTGCGGAATAAACCAGAAGCCTCTATATCATCATGCCTTAAATCAGAAGAAAGCTTTTTTCTGCTGTAAATAATTGTGTTCAAAATGTGAGGCATCTATAAAGAGGGGGCAGAATAAGGTTTTTGGCTTTCTGCACATGTAGCCTTTTCCATCACACAAATATTCTAATCCTGTCTAGCTGGTCCCTCCTAGACTGCAAAGCCAGCCATTGACTTAGATTTTTGTATTTGGACTTACTTATTTAAAACTACTTCTGACAGGCTATGCTTTCCTTGGTTTTGCTGAAATTTCATGGCCCCAATATTTAGAAACCAAGCACCTTTCCAGTGGGTTCTTACAAGGCGTGACCTTCATCTCTGTGCTCATCAAGTAAAAGGTGCCTTGATTTGCTTTCTCTTCTCTGTCTTCATTACTATCCTTTCTTGTTTTAACTAGTTATTTACTCAATTTAATGATCTCCGCTGCCCCCGCGTCAGCTTCTAGACCTTGTTCTCATGTCCCTGGTCTTCCCAGCTAGTCCTGTGCCTGGCAGATTTCTAGCTGTGATGTGGGCCTTTACCTGGAATGTGTCCACCATTCCTTCTATTTAATTTGAAGGTCTTGACATCCAGTTCTTCAAAAGGGTGCGTTAAAACCGCAAGTGGATTTTACAAATCTTGCTCTCTAAAACAGTGTAATAGGGAAACAATATATTTATCTTCAAGGATTGTGTGGAGGTGCTATTTTGAAGACATTTTTTTTCATGTGCAAAAACCTACTTCCCTCCACATTGGAAAGTAGGGCCATTGCTGGTGCAAGTGTAAAGTAATGCACAGGTGGTGTTGACTGATGTGAGCAGAAGCAAAGGAAGCGTGAGAGTCTGACAGTGTGAGAGGTGATGGGAAGTGTTATGGTTGACGCACTGCGTCAACCTGAGAAGTTTAGAAGTTTAATTACAGACTTAGCAGACAACCAGGATCCTTACTTTGTAAAATATCCTCATCCTGTGCAAGGAGGAGGACACAGAGATTTTGTGAGTGCTACACCTGCGCTTGGTGGGGTGGCCTGTGTACAGTAGAAGGGAGAAGAAGAGGTTTGTTCTGGCCTCTTTTGCTCCGGCTGCTGCCTTGAAATGTTGCCCTGGTGCCAAGTCATCCTGCCTTGAAGCCAGCTGAGTATGGATTGAAACCTCCACAAACAGTGAGCTAAATAAACCTTTCCTTCCTTCATTTTGGATGACAGGTATTCTCTCCCAGCAACAAGAAAAAGTAACAAAGACAGGAAGAGAAGAGGAGGTAATGGTAGCTGCCAGCATCTCAGGGACATGGCTAGGGTTTCAAGGCAGGAAGCAGCAGGGGACACTACTGCAGAGAAAGAGCAAAGCTATACATTTTTCCTTTCTTTATTAATATCTAAATCCATCCCATGCCAATTCCCTATCTCCCTACAGAAGTGTACCTTTTAAAAGATAATCATAATTTTAATATTTTTAATTGAATACTCATTGGAAGTAGGCTGTTCTTCAGAGATGGAGAAGTTGAACAGTAATTACCCTCATGTTCCATAGCTCTTGGTTGCTAGGTTTGCTTTCCTTTGGGCACTACGGTGTGTTCCCCAGTGTTCACTATGTCCCCCTGCCTTGTTGAGCAGCAGCGGCATGGTTTGGAGATTGATCTTAGCTGGAAATCAGTTGGTGTGGGGCTAAGTGTCTTCACAGCCAGAGTTTTAGTTTAGTAATGGGAATGTGAGTTACTCCTGGCCAGTGAGGAAAAAAGAAAATTTGGAGGAGGCTTGGGGAAAAGAGAACCATAGCCTATCAGGTGCTGTCTACTACAAGATGAAAACCAAAGACTTCTAGCACAGGGTATTGCAAGGCAACCCGGGTCTAGAATAAAGGTGGTGCCATGGATGCAGCATAGAGAGAGGAGAAGAAAATCAAGGTCCTTTGTGATGTTGAGCTATGCAATCACTGAACTCTGAACTTGAACCATGACTGGATGTCTTGTGGTAGAAGCTAATATATTTCATTATTATTATGTATTTGTTCATCTGTAATTGAAATCGTGTATATCCTAATTGATCCGTGATCTTTATGACCTTCTGTAGGGTGACCTTTTGGACCTTAATCCCTTGAGTTTTTATCGTTATCTAAGGAGTAAATATAATTATGTCTCGCAGAGGTTTAGTGAAGGTTTTTGAGATTCTGACAAAGCCTGTGGGAGGACTTGGGGACTCATACATGTTAAGTGCTTACCAGAGTTCAAGAAATAGACTGGTCCTTGATTTTAGGCAGACTAGGAAATGAGGAATTCATAACCCATGTTTTTGTGGTAGAAATAAGATCACCTGCTTGTGGATGATGTCTGTATAATCCCTTTTTATATTATTCATATTTATTAATATTTTTTAGACATATTTGTTGAATAATTACTTTTGAAGCAAATACTTTTTATTGGAAAACAAAAGTTCAATTTGGGGCAACTTCCGTTTGAGACATCTGATTTGCATTGAAATTGAGATGTTGAGCTGAAAGTTTACTTATGACTGATTCCCATCAGAGGTCTGTCTTAGCAGGAACTAAAATTTGAATTTCACCGGTGTGTTGATCATGTCAAAGGCCGTGGGAATAGATGGTTCCCATTAAGCACAAGTGGCGAATGCACAGAAAAAAGCATCTTACCTTGTTTCTGGGAAGGATTTTTCCTATAATTTTTGTTTTTTAAGAACAGGCAAAGGAGAGGGAACTGTAGCCTGGGTGAGATGTTGAGAAAGGGCAAAGTTTTAGAATTGCAGAAGGAGAATTGCAGATGGGGGGAGGGTAGTGTGAGGGGAGCTGATGCCCAGTGAGCTGGGCTCCTGAGAGGGACAGTAGCTGACCTTACACCGGGGGCCAGAGGGAAGGTGCTGAGGATGGGAGCTTGAGTTAGAAGGTTGGAGGTCCCAGGCGAGCCTCATAACACATACATCTGCCACGTGTGTGCGCACAGATGTACACATCACTTGTGCTTCACAGGCATTGTCTGGGTGTGACATGTGGCTACTGTAACTGTTACTGCTCCTTCTCTGTCTCCTTCGATAATACTGCATATATAGGAAAGCGTTGGTACATGTTAGACAAATAGATATCCCACAAAAAATGAGCTTTTATATTTGTTTTTGATAGTACTGGGGCCTTTGCACTAAGCTACATCCCCAACTCTTTTGACTTTATTTTTTATTTTGAGACAGGGTCTCACGCAGGCTGGGCTCAGACTGTCAGCCTTCCTGCCTCAGCCTTCCAAAGGGCTGGACTTACAGGCATATGCAGTGTGTCTGACTTGAGCTTCAGCCATTGTACGTAGGCTGTTCACGTTAGAGATGTGGGAAAGTGAGTTAAAACTATGCAGCCACTGGGACCCACTTCCTGGAGTCTTCCGCTCTGGCTTTCCTTCGTCGTCCTGTCCATGGGGCACCAATAACTGCTTTTTCCTGCCTGTTCCATGGGGGGGGAGGAGTTCTGTGCAGGTGGCACCTGTACTAGGTAAATGCACGTTTGCAGGTGGACTGCTGGGAAGGGACACATGGAGTGCTCAGTAGGCAGTGGCTGGGTGAGTGGGGAGAGTGGCGGTTTGAAGCCTGGAGGCCTTGCAGAGGGTGCAGGGAACAGCAAGGATAAGTTAAGTCACAGGGGCTGCAGAACCGACTGTGGAGGCAGAGCTGCTTTGTGAGGGGTCTCACTCTGACCCCAGCAGCTGCCGGGCTGTGCACATAGATCTTTCCCCAGGCCGAGGCTCCCTGCTCCCCCGCGACCCCCTCACCACCCTGTCTCCCATTGCCGAGTTCCCTCTCCATTCACCCAGGCCTCGTTCTTCCCACGTGGGCCTGCAGAGATGTTTTCTGCCACCGACTCTTTGTTTCCAGGGTTCACTTTCTGAGTTCCATGTGTTCCTCTTTCCCAGCTCTCCACTGCGGACTGAGTCCACGGGGCATCGATCACCCTGCCCATGCCGAAGGGATTCAACTACCGATTGAAAGCGAAGGTGCGGAATCTCAATCCATTAAGAACAAAAATTTCCAGAAGGTGCCTGATCAGAAAGGAACTCCCAGGCGACTGCAGGGCGAGGCCGAGACTGCCAAGGTGGGTGGTTTACCTGCTGCTCAAGAGGTCTGCTTCGGGGTGCAGCCAGGGGGAGCCCATCGTGCTCTCACTAATCCTGTGGGGTCTTGGGATGAAATGAGTGTGGCGTCTTTAGGAGAATTAATAATAGATGAGAATGTGGGCTGCCCTTCCTTTGGATGGTACTGAAACTCATTTGTGACCAGGCTCGTCGCATGAGCCTCTGAGCCATGGCACATAAAGCTAAGAGACGGACCTGGAGCCGGGAGTTTCCCCTTCACAGGGTCGGGCAGGTCCCGTAGCTTCCTGAGTTGCATAGTCTTTACAGAACAGAATCATAAAAGGGTCATAACTCTGTGCCTCATCAGGCTGAGCAGATCACATAATTTTTTGCTTGAAGAAGCATATATTTTATGAGACCTTGAGGGTGAGGTGCTTCTCTTGACAGGGACTGTTAATTATAATAATTGACACTTTATGATGTCTATAATTGGTCCTATTTGGGAGACTCTTGATATACTGGCTTACTATGTCCCTGTCACTAACCTAATAGGGGGACAATGATACACAGTTAGTTATTGGAAGATAAAATTGCTGTGTTTTATGGAAGGCTACTTAGTCCTTTTTAATTATTAGCCTAGCATAGGCACCATCGAACTGAGAAAATATGTTTTAGTAAAGTCATAGGAAGAAGTGGGTTTCTGATGGGAGTGATTGTTTGCTGAGGACAGCTGTTTTTTAAAGGACTCTGACAGAACTGGTACCACAGGTTTCCTCAGTGAGGTTCTCATGTGTGGTGTTGAGGATTGCATTTTAGTTTATCTGTCAGAAACTGAGGGAGTTAATCTTCCTGGGGCCTTTTGTTTCTGTCTTTGTGTTTCCCTGTAAGAGAATGTCGCTTCAAGTGTTCACTAAGTGAATAAATGTGTGGGATCCTCTGAAAGCAAGTGTAAGCACCCAACAAAAAGCCTTAAGTGGGAAGATCACTTTGCTGTTGGACCATTGATCTCTTTTCTTCCCCAAATAATGGCTCCCAAATTAAAATGTGAATCATTCTTGCTTTATCTATGGTTCTGATTTGACACCATTATTGCTTTCCTGTTTTAGCTTAATTAAGAAGCAGTGACATTTGTTGTGTGTGTCTCTGTGTGGGGAATTCCCAAGGAAGATACTGCAGGTCCTTTGTGGCAGACATTTTCGTGGAGGAAATCATGCCTCATAGGAAACTGATTGGTGATCGCTGATTTTTCATTTGGGAGCATAGTTGGAAATCGGTGGACTGCACTGTGACTTCAAAACTCAATCAATCTGTGTGCCACCTAGGCATCTTGCAAGAGCCAGGAAAGACACATCCCCAGGTCTGCTTTTACTAGGAAGATAGAGTTTTCCTGAGTTGGATCTTTTCCAAAGGATGCTTAAAATACTAAAAATCAGAGTGGGAAAGTAAACAAATGAATTACTGATATTAATCTGACTTTAATTCCATTTTAAACATTTCTTTTTATTTGTAAAAAGCTGGAAATATAAAACTTAGACTCAATTTTGATATGATTTGATTACTTTGGATTATTTTAAATGTGATTACATAGAAAAACCCTGAGTTTTGGTTTCACAGTGCTTTGTTTTGATTGGTAGGACACTTGCTAGCTAACTTCCTGATACTGCCCACCACTGATAATGCGGCAGCACATAACGGGTCTTTCCTCAGGAATAAAGGGCACTTTGGAAACCAGACTGAGTTTGTCCACACCATCGACAGCGAACCCCCTGACAAATGGAGCGGGAAGGAGATCCTGGGGGTTGTCACACTGACCTCATGCTTAGTGGTGAATAATCCAGAGCCCTTAGTAAAGCTTGGAGAAAGTATTTGCCCATTTTCATGAAGGACTGGATGCCAGAGGTGTTGCCAGGGCAGACAGAGCACCCTGTGGTGATGACCACAGTGCCCCATACCCTGCAGTGTGTGACCCCAGACAGTTGAACTTGCTGTGTACCTGCACAAACACACTTAGACTTTCTCTTCTGTCATACTTAGAGGAGTAGTGGAATTGTTTTACCTTTTTTCTTGCTTAGGTAATTGAATCTCTGCTAACTTGACCTACTTAAACTTACCAATAAAATCTGTGGCTAGAAGCACATGATTTGAAACCATTCAGTCATGTAAATTGGTACAGCTTTTCTGGAGAAGTTTGCTACCAGTTATTAAAATTTTCAAATGTGTACAATTTGGGATCAGTAAATCCCACTCTAGGAAGTTGTCCTAAGGAAATGATCAGATATACAGAGGGCTGCAGAATAATGGTTTCCATAATGCTGATTATACTGGGAATACACTGGAAATGGCCCTCATGTCCACTCGTAGGACGCTGGCTCAGGAAGCCGCATGCATTCATGCAGTGAAGGACAGCTTTCCCTTCATTAGAGTGCGGGGTATCTGGATGTATTTATCTGGGGAAAAGCATGGGATTGTATTTTAAGCGAGGAGGGCAGCCAAGGGGCAGGGTTACCACACTGTGTTTATGTCCCCATTGATGTAAAAATGTCCTTCTGTGTGTCTGTGACATTGGCTTCATACTTCAAACACTGGTTGATATTGGAATTGACACTATGGGAGAAACTTGCACTTTAAGCACTTCTGTTTTATTTGGATATTTTAAAAAAAGAGCTGCATTCTCTCAGTTATACCTAATTTAAAGCCCTTTTTAGATTTCCCCGTTCGCTTTACTAGCTCAGTTGTGGCTTTTCCTGTTTGTTGGGTTGGTGTCCTGCCTTTCAGGGTGCAGAATTCCTTTGTGTGGCTTCTCATCATTGCTGTTGAGCTCATTTGCCAAAGCAGAGATTGCTATGTGGTCTTTTTGCTGCCCTGTGGCCCTCATCTGATGAGGTACTTGCTGTTCGTCTCCGCTTGAACGCAAGGGTTTGGTAGCTCTCATCAGAAATTGCATTAGAGTTTCAATTTGCTGCTGCTGTTTGCTTTCAACTGGTTGTGCAGGTGAAGCCTCCCATATGCACCCGGAGAACCTGGTTCCAGGTTCTTTTGGTTCTTGGGCTCTGCTACTTTGATTCGAGCATCAGGCTTTAATACTAGTCCTTCAGTAATTCTTTTCCTTGATATCAAGCTAGGTTTTTATATGAGATTTAAAATATAAATATATTTTTTAGTATTTTTGTACTAGAACCTGAATGGGAATTGTCTAAATGTGAAAGCTGAAAAACCTGAGTGAGCTTAATTGACCATAATGACTCTGAAATTTGTATTGCTTTTACAATAAAAAAAATTGCACACATACCACACCCCTGTATCTTCATATTCATCCTAGGAGAAATCATTCTTGCATCTCTTAGGAAGTAATTCAGAGACCACTGCTCTCTACTGCACCAGAAACTTAGAATCCTAATTCTGAAGGAGGTTATCTGCCAGAAGTGGCCCACTGCTCTTACAGACCAAAGAAAAACCAATAGAGTGCCCAGCTCATCTTAGGATTTATTATTGGGCTGCTTTTATCCTACTTGAAAAAGATGAATATGATTAAAATGTGACTCTGCAAAAGATAAACATCGTCTTCAGTCCTGTGCATGCCTGGGGAGCCATACAGAGTATTCGGTGGTACAAGCAGCTGTGGTTAGAAGTTCAAGATGCAGAAACTATGCTTGCTTGGCTGTATAGATCCGTGGATGGCAAGAGATACTGTAGACGTGGCATTTTTATCTCACGGGGTCTCAGATGTCACCGAAGGCCACAACTTCTTTTGTCCCTTCACCCTCCAGGGGCCTGTACAGCTGCCCCAGATGTGGTGTGGGTCTCCGACAACAGAGAAGGTGCAGCATTCTCCCACAAGTTGATCATACCATTCTTAGTCTTCTCTACCCAAGGCCTAGTCATAGCTCCTGCAGGCCAGGTGTAGTTCACATAGTGGTTTCTGGGGGACGGGAAGAGGGGTCCTGCACAGTGGTTTCTGGGGGACGGGAAGAGGGTCCAGCGCAAGCATAACCTGACCTGTGGTGTGAAGTGGGGAAAATTCACACGTGCAGATTCATACACATTCATTCTTTCATGAAGAACGGAAGGCATCCTGAGCAGTGAGACCTGAGCATCTTGGCCCACGGTGCGGCTGTGGAGATGCTATCTTAAGTCAGGATTTGCATCGTGGAAATTGAGCTTGGAGCCCCTGGTTGGCTGCAGCTGTATGGGATTTGAATGCCAAAGTGAAAAGTGTGAACTTACTTTGTTTTGGCATTGACTAGCATAGTAACCATTGGCCATAGGTGGGTATTTAAGTTGCTAAAATTGAATAAAATATTAAAAATCATTTCTATGACAGTGCCAGATGGCATTGAGTCACCATGTGTATCTAGGATTTATTTGGGACAGGATAAACACGAATGTCCCAGCAGAAAGTTCTGTTGAATAGAACCTTTCTAATTTGGAGAAGCTACCAGAATTCTTTGGGTGTAGGAATAAGATGAAAGTTGAAGTCATGTTGACATTGTCTCTGACCCTTGTCCTTGGAACTGGCTGGACACCTGCTTCAGTCATGAAAAGCAGGGGTTTTCAAAATAATCAGGAGTTTATTTTGAAAGTGATGTCCTAAATGCTCTGATATTGGAATCTGGGTTTCCATGGCAATGCTGGCTATGGAATAACCCATCAGCAGGCAGTATCCAGGCTGTTTACCATTTGGGAATTCAGGGATGTATCATTGTAAGTAGCCTAAACATGGCATTGGGAAATTGAGATTCTTGATATCTGGAAGTCATTTTTCTAGAGGCTTCTAAGAAAACTCTATGTTACCCTATTTTCTATGCTTTTTCAAATAAAGTTTTCACGAAGCTGATGATCCTTATGTTTCCCTGGCATGATGCTAGTTCAGGAGTCAGAGCTCTTTGAATGTGCCTCACATTTGCATTTCTGCCTCATTCCTTTCATTTCTAGAATCTGCATCTCCATTTTATAGCTGAGAAACCCTAGAATTGAAATGATACCCCCAAACTTAGTTTGTGGCTCATAACTGCAGGAAGAT